AAGGCTGCCAGGGTTCCATCTTCCAGGATCTTCTCGATGATCCTCCGCCTCTCGACGGCGGCAGGGTGAGTCGTCTCTCCGGTGCCCTCCACCGCTGGGTCCTGGGCGTGCGCGTCCAGCAGCCAGTCCTCCTCGGGGCCCTGAACTGTTTGCCTGAGCTCCTCCTCGAGGGCGGTTGTTTGGATGTCGTCGAAAGCGGCGTGGGGGGCCCACGCCGCCGGCGGGCCTCCCGCTCGGCTGCCTCCCGAGGCTGCCCCTGACGCCTCTCCAGCGCCCCCTCCAGCTCGTTTGCTGTCCGCCTCGGCTTTGGCCTGTGCCCCGAGCTGTGCGACCCGTCCATCGACCGAGGCGGGATCAACCTTCGCCCCAGACCGCAGGCCACCGCGCCTGATGAGCTGCGCCTGCACCGTCCAGTCGAGGCTGCCAAGCCCTTTGATGGCCTCGTGCGAGTGCGCGCAGGTCCCCGCAGCTTCAGGGCAACCGGCCCAGGTGCAAGCGTCCCAGCAGATGACCTTCCCATTATTGTCGCGGGGGGCGTGCTTGACGGACCCGCCGATCTCGCTGGAGGTCAACGCCTTGCCCGCTGGATAGGCCCGAGCTGCGGCCCGCTTCTTGGCCGCGGCCTTCTCGGCGGCGGCCCCTGCCCTCCCGGCGCCCAGCCCAGAGGTAGTCGGCGTCTCCTGGTCGGCCGAAGTCTGCTCTTCAGCCTTCCCGGCCTTGGGAGTCTTCGGGGGTCCGGCGTGCAGGTTCTGGCGCAGGAACCCCTGAAGTCGCCGAGCCTGGCGAGGAACGCACGCCACCTGGTAGTAGCCGTCCGGCGCGTCGAGGTCGTACACATTCGGGAACGTCAACCAAGCGCTCCCAGTCGGTCCTGCGGGGGCGAGGGCGACAGTCTTGATGTCCTCCCTGCGCGGGCTGGTGAGGCCCAGGATTCGACACACCTCTCTCCGCTTCTACCGAAGCTGCTCACACCAAGTCGCGGCGAGCTCCTCCCAAAGACTGTACACGTAGTCGGCGGGGAAGGCTACGTCATCCTCCTCATAGGCCAGGCGCAGGGTCTCCAAGGCCCGACGCCTCTCCGGCTCGTGCATGCGCCCGTAGACCAGACCGAAAACGGTTATGGCGTTCTCGGCTTGCCTCACCCACTGCGAGAAGACGACCGGGTGCCGCGAGCGCGGCTCGAGTTTGCACGATGTGGGCATGGTGTAGGCGTCAAACACCTCCGCCTTGCAGTGCGGGAAGTCCGCCACGGAGACCGACCACTCGGCCAGGTCTTTGTGGTCTCGACCTCCCCAGCAGAAGGCCGCGATGCCGTACGCCATCCTGTTGGTCACCGTGGTGGGCCAGTTCACCGCCTGCATCACGTGCTCGGCATGCTCGCAGGCACGCTTGAGTCCGTGGAACAGCTCCCGACCGGTGAGCGCACCGCAGACCTCCACGTCGAGGGTGTCGCAACCTCGGGCCAGGTATACGTCCAACTCCTCGGCCCGCCCGATGGCGCCGAGGGTCCCACGCTGAGCGACCTTCTCCTCCTCGCCATATCTGCGCAGGCTATCCACCGCCTGCAGCAATCTCATGTTGTCCAGGTGCTGCTGCTCCTGACTGTTCTGGAGGACCTGTGCGTAGGTGGTGACGGCGGCCGAAGGGTCGCTCTCTCCAGCCCCTGCAGCGTACCTCCGATCAGGTTGGCCTGGGGGCTTGACCAGCCCCCCCTGCCCGTAGGCACCTCTGTTGGTGAACATCTGCCCGAGGTTCGGGACGAGGCCTGGCATCAGACCTGGAGGTGTGAGGCGCGAGGCTCCAGGTACTCGCACGCCAGGCGGGGTGGCCGGCGGCGGTAGGGGTGGAGCGCTCGCTGCTGGGTCCAGCCCAGGGGGGGCCGCGGGCTGGCTTGACTCTTGGCTGGTGTCGGGGCGGCGCTCGGCGTCGAGCATCAGGAGGCTGCTGGCGAGCGGTGGGCTCACGTTCTCGTCCCGCTCGGCCCGAACGCGTTCCAGCATTCGTTCCCATCGGTCGACATGTGTCTGATACCTGACCCGCTCGTCAGCTCCGCTGTTGCGCATGAGGCGCTGGGCGCACTTGATGAGGTGCCCCAGGACGACGGTGATGTCCTCGTCGTGCCCGGCCGCGACGCTCTGCAGCGCGGAGGCGTCGTCTGACCCTCCTTCGTGAGCTGCGAGATACAGCCCCAGCATGGCCTCCCCGGTGTTTTCCTCCTCCGGGGCCTTTTCCAGGGCTGCGCGAGGAGCGGCGCGGGGCGGGGGTGGCCCGATCGCGCTCCTCGCCCAGGCCCCATCCAACGCCAAAGGGCGGCTTGGGGGAGCTGCTGCGGTCGAGTCTCGCCCAGTGCTTCCTGAGCTGCGTGTCCATCCCGTCGGCGGCGGGGGGCTGTGCGCCGCTGGCGTCGCCTGCTGCACCAGCTGGGTGCCATGCAAGCTGGTCACCTCGGGCTCGAAGCTGGGCCCACTGGGGGCGGCTGATCCTCTTGGCCTTCCCGCCCACTGGGACCCCGTTCCATGGGTGTAGTTTCTCCCGCACAGACTTGCTCACGACGATGCAGTCCAGGCTGGCCCCCAGCTCCTCTGCACCGAGTGGCGGGTGGTGCAAGAGTCCCTCGAGGTATCCGGCGGGGAGCTTGCCCCGGTCGCTGGTGGCGGGGGCGTGCTCGATCCCCGCGGTCTTGAGGGTAAAGCAGATCTGCTCGATGTCGCCAGGGGGGCGGCCCTTGGCGCCCGGCTCCTCGACGTCCACCGCGGTTAGGCTGCCGTCCCCCAGCGGTGCCTCTCCAGGCCTTGACCTGCCCAAGAATACGATCCACTGCGGTCCAGCCGCCCACTGCACTCGAACGCGCAGGACCAGGTAGTCGCTCTGGTCGGTCTCCTCGCTCGGGGCGGGGCTGGCGCTCTGTGGCAGGGGCGCCCTTGGGGAAAGTGAAGCTTCGAACCGAACGCTGGCGGGCGGAGCCCGCGGCGCAGACGGCGCCTCGCGAGGGAGCGGGCTTGCTGCTGCCTGCCCACGACGAACTTCTGGCCCTCGGCCTCCATCTGCTGGAGGGGCCGTTGCCGCGGGGCCCCCTGGCTCGCGCGCCCGAGGGCTGCGGCTGCGGACTACCCGGCGCCTCAAACCCGAGAAGAGTCCACGGCTCGGCGTAGTAGCAGTAGCCTGCGCTGCTCTGCCAGCCCCCCCACCTAGGTGCAGGAGGCAAAATGGCACACCCTCGGCGTTGCCAACTGCCTGGCGGTAGCAGGTCACCTGGGAGCACTTGTCGCGGCACCAAAGGCCCTGTAGACCTGCGAATGATGGGCGCAGAGATGGGCGAAGGAGTTCCTCCCGTCGCTGGGGGGCGGGAGTTCGGAAGCCTGGCCGTCCTCCGTGAGCAGGGCGGTCGGCTCGGCCTCTGCGGCGTCGCGGCAGCCGTCGGGGGCCAAGTCCGCGAAGTACGATTCCCACCCGGACCGCCTCACATGGCTTGTCCTCAGCCTCCACCTCTGACTCGGGCTCCTGATCAAGGACCTCTGCGACACTTCCTGCAACGCCTGGCTCCGCAGCGCCTGTCTTGCGACGGCGGCGTCGCTGGCAGCAGAGAGAGCAGCCGCAGGACAAGAGGCAGTACGTGAACACAATGATTCGCCGCGTGCCGCGCCCGAGATCCGTGGAGGCCCGCCAGAGTAAGAAGATGCCGCGGCAGGAGGTGAACTTGGCATGGGAGCCGATGTCCACGATCGCTTCGGAGTCCAGGGCTGCGCACTCCTTGCAGTGGATCTCCCCGGGCCGATCTCGGCAGACCATGTTGCGGCACAGGTGGGTCGAACGGCCCTCAAGCGTCTCCAGCTTCTGGCGGAGCGCGCGAGAGCTGGCCCCCTTCACGCTCAGGTAATCCACCCAGAGGCCCGTCCGGTCGATCCGCTTGGGCTCAGCGAGGTCGATCCGCACCCGTGCTACATGGTCGTCGATCTTGACCAACACGTCGTTCGGCCTCCTCCCCGTTCCACGACCCTTCACCTTCTTGCTGTAGTACTCGGTGGTCGTGGCGGGTCCGGTCTCTGGCCCCATCCAGTGGATCTGGGTGAGGGCAGGCGGAGCCGGCGGCAGGTACCTTTCGGCAGCTGCATCGCCAGGCTCTCGCCGGCCGCAGTTGAAGCACCGCGCCAGAAGACCAATCAACCAGAGGGCGGCGGCACAGGGGGCCAGCAGCGTCCGGCAGATGTGGGTGAGGAAAGCGAGCATCGCGAGGAAGGCCAGGAAGATGAACGTCCACGCCACCACTGGCCAGGCGGCCCCGAAGACCGTCAGGCCCAGCTTCTCGAGGGCGTAGAAGAACCAGCCGCCCTCCTTGGTCAGCCAGCCCGTCTCGGCGCGGGTCGAGAAGGCGCTCCCGAGGCTGTCCAGCTTCTCGCGCGCGCCCCCGCCCATGCCGCTCATGCGCCAGGCCCAGGTGCCCTCACCCAAGGGCTTCCAGCCCAGCGCCCAGACGCCCCAGCCGCCGATCCAGGACTCCCCGTCACTGGTGCCGCCGGTGGCGTTGCTGGTGTTGTCGACTCCTCCGGCGGCGTGGGTGGGCGGCTGAGGGGGCGCACCCGGCGGCCCGCTGTCGGGCGGCGCCTGGGTGCTGCCAGCAGCCTCACCTCCCTCCTCTGGCTCGCCGGTCTCCGTGCCGTACTCGGAGTCGTCGTAGTACGGCACGGTGCGCCCAGGCAGGGCCTCGCGGGCCTCGGCTGGGCAGCCCCACCCGGCGCGGGCCGCCGCTGTGCCGAGCGGCCCGCGCCAGTCGTAGGCGACCGCGCTGGCGGCCAACGCAACCAGCCCGCGTGCGGGACCCGCCGGCGCCAGGCGCAAGGCGGCCATCGCACACGCGTTTCCGGGCGCCCGGGGGGCGCCCAGACCTCCTGAGGTCGGCTCCAGGGTTTTGAGCCCCGAAGGCTTGAGCGGGAGAGAGGTGGAGAGAGAGAGAGCAGCAGAGGCAAGGGCAGGGAGAAAGAGGAAACCCAAGCCGACTGGGGAGGGGGATGGTCCAATCGTTTAGGTCAAACAACTAAATGCCGAGGCGATCCGCCATGGACGTGGCCGTCGTCAGCGTGACGACGCCACCGTCGGGATAACGCCTCTCCACCATCACCCGCGCCAGACTGGCCAGCGAGCCCTGCAATGGTGCCTCGCCGACGCCGCCAGCAGCAGGTGCAACCAGCGCCCCTGGCTGGGCCTGCGCTGGCGCCAGCTCGAGAGGCACGAGGGCTTGGCCGTCGCCCTGCTCGGGGCTCGGCCCGCGGCCAGGGCTCTCGGCGAGCCAGGTCCTCGTCCTCTTCAGCGGGCAGCTCGCCCTGCGCAGCGGCAGCGTCAAGGAGGCGGCCATCTGGAGTGGGAATGCTCGGCGCACCCCATTCCTCCTCGCTCAAGAAGCCCTCTGAATGAGAACTCCTGGTGGGCAGCCCCAAGCCGAAACGTGTTTGAGCCAAAATGGTTACGGACATATGCATGGTGCAACACATTCAGAATACCACAAGCATGGCACTCCCCTCACGCAATCCGTGAATCTCTTGGAGGGTCCGTTGCGGGCGTCGCGTTGGGGCCCCTAAGAATGACCTACCTATTGGGGCCCGTTGAAGCGACCATCAGCGGTGTCCATTACGAGCGCCTGTCTGGGAGCTTTATTGGAGGCGCTTGTTTCATGCGCAGGCGGCCTTCATCATGCCTGACAATATCAACTAACGCTTCGCCAACCGCCCCCCCCATTAGGAGGAAAGGAGGAATGTGACACACAAGAGGCCACACTAAACCCTGCACTGGGGGCCCCCATTGCACACGGCCTCGCACGCACGATGCGCCAGCACGAACTCAAGCAGGGTCCCCCGTTGTCCGTGAATGCTAATTACCCCTTCTCCTTCCCCCCCGAAAACCAAATGGGCATCAACTTGTTCAGGACCCCCAGAGCGGCCCATCAGACCCGCTACTCCGCGAGGCTGCGCCCGACGAGCGTGCCATCAGACCCCCAACTCAAACAGGACGCCCCTAAGGGCATCAAAACCCATCAACCGCATCAAGACCAGGTTGACAGGCAGGGAAGTGTCAATCGTAGGGTGGCCCTATCGGTAATAGTGTTAGTCTCATGACTGGTAGTGTTATTACTCGTATTCCATATTATTCTTGGTAGCACAATTAGTATTATTCCTCCTGCTCCTCCTCCTCCTTCTCCTCCTCCTCCCCCCCTCTTGCTCTGCTTTTCTGCTGATCGAAGCCAAGATTGTCTATACAGCATCCCAAGGCCCAGGATGGCCCTGGCCAGGCATGCCGACCGACGCCACCACCGGCCGCCGCGGGCCTCTCCGAGGGGGCCGCGGCAAGCGCCCCAACGTGCACTCGGAACGGGCAGCTCTCTCGCCCAGAACGGGGTCTCTGCAATCGAGGAAAGCATCCACGCTCTTGTTTTCCGTGGAGGAGGACGACGACGACAGCAACGATGACGAGGGGGAGGGAGCGCGACCACAAAGCTTCACCCGAGACAGACACTAAAAGAAGGAAAGATGCAACAGAAGGGAGGGAAGCAGAGGGCAGAGCGGCAGCAAGGAGGGCAGCAAAGAGGGCTGCAGAGGACAGCGGGAGGAGGAGAAGAGGAAGGCCACGACGGGGAGAAGAGAGAGAGAGAGAGAAAACAAAAGAGAGAGAGAGAGAGAGCCCGCCACGCGCCCTGGTTCAAACAGGCGCGCCCCGCGGCCTCGACCGCTGTGCGAAGCAAAAGGTCAAGTGAAACTGGAAACACCACACGAGCCGACCTACAATAGGCAAGCACATGCACAGGCAAATATTCGCGCTCTGGTGGCAGTATGACGGTCTGCGACTTCCTTCCTGGGTGTCTGAAGAAAGCTGGACGACTGTAAACAATAGGCGGCAGTCGGCCTGGAACAGATGCGGTTATCTCAGTCAGCCCCTCAGCCCCTCAACTATGGGGCGTATTTAAACCTGCGGCTGTGCCGCGCGCAATGGTACCAAACCCATTTGTAGAACACGCGATGATGCAGTGGCCGATGCTTCCGTAAGCACACTCCGTTGCGATTCCATCACCCTCTACTGGAATATGGTCAGCCGTACACGGAAATCGCCAATATGCACTTCTCCGTCGTGTGGAATGTTTCGGGTAATCCGTGCATTGTGCAGTACCCCTGCTCAATCCAGACAAGTATATCGCCAATACACACGAATCGCTCTGCACTAGTTTCGATGGTCCGTGTCGTTGCTTTTCTTCGCGCACAAGCACAAATAGATGCCCCTAGTAACAGAAGTCACTGGACGAGGAATGGCTCGAAAGGAGCTCCAGAAGATCCTTAAGAGTCTGACCCCCGTCCGCGGTGGCAGGCGCACGTTCCTGCTGCGCGCCCCCCGCGCGCCTGGGGAGAGGAGGAGCGGTGCCTAGGGTCTTGGACCAAACCTTGCCAAATCCGGTCTGCGGGAGCGTCCCAGACACCGCCCTTGTGGTTGTGCCATCCCCTCCTCCACCACCGTCCCCTCTCCTCCTCCTCCTCCTCCTCTTCCTCCTTCTCCTCCGCCTCCTCCTCCTCCTCCTCCTCCCCCTCCCCCTCCTCGTCCACAACATCAGCAACATCATCATGACAAGCATCATCATTCTGATCATCGTCATCATCATCATCATCATCATCATCATCATCATCATCATCATCATCATCATCATCAGCATCATACTCACTACCACAACCACCACTACCATCATCATCACCATCATCAAACTCATCACCATCATCACCATCATCAAACTCATCATCATCAACAGCATCATCATCGTTCTCATCGTCGTCATCGTTGTCTCCGTCGTCGCCACCGTCGTCATCGTCGTCGTTGTCGTCGACACCGTCATCGTCACGTCATCACCATCACCATCACCATCATCATCATCAGCATCATCAGAAGCAGAAGCATCAGCATAAGCATCACCATCATCGGCATCGGCCTCATCGTCACCATCTTGATCACCACCACCAGAATCATCATCATCAGCATCATCAGCATCATGATCGTCATCCTCCTCATCATCACCATGAGCATCATCATCATCAGCAGCATCATCATCATCATCCTCATTCTCCTCCTCCTCCTCCTCCTCCTCCTCATCATCATCATCATCATCGCAACCATCATCGTCGTCCTCCTGATCATCACCACCTGCATCATCATCATCATCATCATCATCATCATCATCATCATCATCATCATCATCATCATCATCATCATCATCATAATCATCGCCATCAGCATCATCCTCATCATCAGCATCGTCGTCATCAGCATCATCATCACCGCCACCATCATCGTCCTCCTGATCATCGCCGCCAGCATCCTCATCATCATCATCATCATCATCATGATTATCAGCATCATCATCATCATCATCATCATCATCATCATCATCATTATTATCATCATCATCACCATCATCATAACAATCAGTATCGTCATCATCGTCGTCATCATCATCATCAGCATCATCAGCATCGGTGGCATCAGCATCATCATCATTAGCAGCATCAGCATTATAATAATCATCATCATCACCACCACCATCATCATCATCATCATCATCATCACCATCATCATCATCATCATCATCATCACCATCATCAGCATCATCATCATCATCATAATCATCATCATCATCATCATCATCATCATCATCATCATCATCATCATCATCATCATCATCATCATCCTTGACATCATTCGGATCCTTCTCGTGTGCCCAGGATCGCTGTCATGGCTGCAACCCCATCGAGAAAGTCCGCCCCATGTCGGGCTGGCTCTCTTAGGCAGCCCCCCTGGGCACTCCTTTCGTCGACAACGCATGCAACGAAACATCCCCCTCGCCAAAATGAAGGGGGGAAGAGACACCGTAACCTGCCCCCCCCCCAACACACAACTCCCACTGCTCGAGACCTCTGGTATCGAACCGTGCTGACACGCTGGAGCCCAGGCTCGAAACTGAGACTGGCGAGTCGAGCTCGAAGGCAAGACTCTTCCAGGATCTGCGTGGTAAAGAAGGCGGCTTGAGGCACGTCATGACTGGTGCCCTCAGCATCCAAACGTTCAGACAGCAGCGACAGCTGCAAAACCTGAGAAGAACCAGTGACCTGCTCAAACTCGTTTGGAATGGCTCGCTCGGAATGGCTCGGCACATGTGCTATGTATCCCACATGCCAAATCGAAAACATATTGAATTTAACTGACTCTGCGCATCCCACAACACGTACGTATCACAACACATGATCGTATTACCGCTCGCGCCTCATCATATGATCTCACAGCCCCGCAAATCACCCACAAACGATACTGCTGATTTCACCACTGCTGGTCCACAGTAATGTCTGTCATGATTGCTCAGAACATCTAGCGTATGCCAGAGACCCCCAGATCTGCATTCATGAGAGAGGTTCGACAAAGAACAGAGGCGGAAAGAAAGAACGTGGACGCACAATAGCACCGAGCGATACTGGACGCGCGGGTTGTCGAGGGTCGAGACAAGCTTGGAACAGCCTGTAACTGTTCAGTGGCATGGCCACTCCTTGGGTTCAGTCTTTGAGTGACGGACGAACTGCTAGAGCAGAAAAACGAGTGACGACCATACGAACTCAGACTCGCCGGAGAGCCGCGGCCTCATGCGAGGTCATGGCCGCTCCGGGAGGGGGGCTCGGCTGCGGGCTTCCCGCCGCGCCCATGATCGAAGCTGGGGCTCCAACCACCTGAACTCCACACCTGACTACGTGGGGATGGCCACGGACGGGGGCTCCGAGACCCTACCTGCGCACCTCACCCAGAGGGCAGCATAATCACCTCCGCAATAAGCACCCCGACGAGAGAGGCCCTTTAGTCGGCGCACCCGACGAAGGAATGAAACAGGGCAGGGCTGCTCAGGAGACGCCCGGGACTGTCTAGCAAACGCCGATTCTGTGGGGGACAAGAGACGGCCGCCTCGTCCACTTCTGCAGCAGGCACAAGCGATAGGAGATCATACTATAAGAAATCAAAGGCCGCACGCATCCTTCCTCGACACTGAGTTTCGAAAGGCGCGGCCCCATTGGCAGACAGGAAGTCCTCATAGGGCCCCCGCTGCATCAGGCTGATCTATTACGGTGACGGGACTGGACAAGCAACCCTTCGATAAGGAACCCAGGGTCCAGAAGCTGGTGGAACACCAACTGAGGCTTGGCCATGGATACCGCCACCGCCCTCATCAGATGAGGAATCCCCCAGGGCCTAAAGCCTCCCACAACAACCCCCGACGTCATGATCTGTTCACAACGTCGACCCCCAGAGGTCTCGAGCCATTTGCCAGGACCAGCTTCTCATCTCGAGCCGTTTTTTAACGGCCCCGAGGCCTGGTGAGGGCCCCCAGAGGCTGAATCTTGGCGGCGAACATGG